GGCTCTGAAACACGGTTTGCTCATGCATTGAAAACAAGGGTAATGAGCATTTTCTCACGTCTGTCGTGGACAGTTGTAGCCATGCATTGATCAAAGAAGCCAGTGCAATTCTTTTTCTACTTAAATACTTGTGTACCGTAGATCGCCGCTTTGAACCACTTTCTAACTTTGTGAGCCCAGTTCGGATGGGGTACAATGAGCCCTCACAGAGCAGGATTTCCAGCTGAACGCGGTTCCCTTCATCCTTTCTCAATTTCACACTCCCGCGGTCTGCTCGACCTGACCCACATCTGGGGTGTTTCCATTTCCATTTTCATGTTTCCGTACACCGGTGGCTCACGCAGGCCATGCCGCACAATGTCCGGCGTGTTTGACACGGCATGAAACTAGCCGCTCTATCTTTTCCGTGACAATCCCTTCTTGTTTCGACACGTGTCGTGCGGTGCACCCTAACCCTAACCCTAAAACTACTGTCCCACTGACCCACGTTGGCCTTGTCAGCGGAAGAAGAAGGGATCCTCACGGAAAAGACAAAGCGACTAATACATTCTCGTTTGACAGTACACACCCCTTGCTGGGCCATGAGCGATCACCTAAGGCAACGGCTTTCACCGCAACATAACGCGAACGGAGCGCCATCGCAACAACCTCGCTGCGTTTCAACCAGCAGGACCGACGCCCACATCGGCACAGGGCAGACACCTAATCCGGAACGTGCGCCAAGGCTGCCTTGATCTTGCTGACCGCTGCTCGCCAGATCGTATACATCGTACACATCGTACACAGCGTTGTCTTTGCGAGGATAGTCAAGAGGATGCCTGACGGGGGAACGAACCGGGTACATCTGGGTGGGATGTCCCACTGCTGTGCGTGGTGTACCCAACCTCCCGGCCAGGGGTGTGAAGAGGGTTGTCCAACCCCTCGAGTACCCTTCCACCGAACAATCGTACACATCGTACACACGGGCAGTGCCAGCCGGCGCTCCCGTCATTTGGCCAATCACGCCATCCCGAGGGCAAGCGTCACCCGCGTTGGGGACGCCCCCCAACGTTTCAGCGCCGTCGCGGCGCCAAACGCGGCCGTCCGCTCCCCCCTACCCACCCCCCCGCCTTGCAGAGCCCGCTGGCCCCACACCGACACGCCCTCCTAGCTCTCTCTCGGTTTAGCTGATTCCACCTGCGCCCCAGCGAAGTGATCAACCGGAAGGGGACGCCTGGGAGAGATGGAGGTGGAGACCGTGGCCGACGAGATGGACGCAGAGGCGCCCAAGTACAGCTTCGACAGCCTGTGCGCCTTCCCGGAGGACGCCCGCGCCTGGGACGCGCTCTTGCGCGAGGCCAAGCCGGACACCGGGCCGTTCGCCAAGTTCTGGGCTCTGCTGCTGGCATCGGATGTGGCCGACGGCGCTCGGCTTTGCAACTTTGGGGCCTGCGATGCGCTGGGCCGGCCGGCGTGCGGCCCCCGCCTGTTCCTGCGCGAGTGCTTCGCCCGGCTGTGGAACGCGATCCGGACCGTCCAGAGGCCGTTCTGCCGGGTGGCCGTGGCGGGCGGGCCCGGCGTGGGAAAGACGATGTTCATGGCGTACTGCCTGCTGCGGCTCTCCAAGGCCGACCCCGCCCCGCTGATCGCCCTCGACCTGGGGCACGGCAAGGCGATGCGCTTCATCCGCGGTCCCGACGTACGCCGCGTCTCTGACCCGGACGCGATCGAGGAGCTGCTGGAGTGCCGCAGCTGCGTGTACCTGTCCGACGGCGTGCCGCCCCGCGACTGCTGCGGCCGGGCGATCTACTTCGCCGCGGACGGGCGCGCCGCGCCGGCGGCCTTCCACGGCCTGCTGTGCCGGCGGCTCTTCCTGCCCCCCTGGACGCTGGACGAGATGCAGATCTGCGGCATCCTGTGCCATCCCGACGTGCCGGAGTCGGAGATTCGCCGATGCTTCGCGCTGTTCGGCGGGAGGGCGGGAGTCGTCTTCCCCCATGCCCGCAGAGCCGAGGCCCTGATCGAGACCAGGAGGGCGATCCGATCTTCGGATGTCGAAGGGGTCCTTGAGGCGGCGGAGGAGTGGTGCGTCGGGGGCGGGCTGGGCCAGGGGGACCGGGTGCTGGTGTCCGTGCCCGGGCCCGACTTCGGGAGCGTGAGCTGCGGCTTCCACAGCCAGTACGTGGCGGACGAGTGGGTGAGGGCCGCGGCCAGGGATCGGGCGGCGGGGCTGTGGGGCGCGGTGGCGGGCGGCCGCGGGGAGGCCTGCGGCGGCGTGGTGGAGAGCGCGTGGGAGGCGGCCGCCCACAACCTGCTGCCCGGGCGCAGGTGGGTGGTTCGGGGCGGGAGTGAATGCAGGGAGCGTGGCGTAGCAAAGAATCGTACAAAGATCGTGAAATTTCGTGACAGCTATCACAAACTCGTAAAAATTGGTGGTGTAAAAACCGTGATGCATGGGCAAAAAGGCTTGATGAGCGGGGCAAGAAAAGAGAATAAGAAAGAGCACATGCAATGGGCAACCCCGCCTGAGAAAGTGCGTGCAAGACTCCTATATATGCTGTTGTGGAGAGTAGCGGACGTGCAGAATAGTAATGTGGAAATTCACGATGATGATTGCTGGATCCCGTGCGGCGGGATCCTGCGCTGGCCATCGTCAGCATCATTCGCCGCTCGCGCCAGTCGTCGGTCTGGTGTCTCCCTTGCGGCAGACTTTGTCGTTGCATCCCTTGCTGCGCCAAAACCTTGATGGATTTGGCGTCATGAAGACGACGTTCGGTCACGCGTCGATCGAGATGCGCCTGCGAATGCCGCTGCACGCGACTCTCCCCGTCGCTACAAAGGCAGTCAGGGGCGTTGCTCCCTCGCGCGCAGGTGGGTGGCGCGGGGGCTGGCCAGCGGCGGGGAGGTGGTGCTGAACATGCTGGGCGTGTCCATGGAGTGGACCCCAGGGAACTGCTGGCCCATGGTGGACGTGGAGGAGCGGCGGTACTACCGGCCGGACTGCAAGGCCTTGTTCAGCGTGGACGCTCTGTACGTGGTGCCGCCGCAGGTGCACGTGTTCAAGATGACGGCGGGGCGGGAGATCGACGTCAACGCGGCAGGCATCATCAAGGTATGTGTGGGCAGGGCATGAAATTAGTCATTCTGTCTGTCCGTGAGGATACCTTTTTGTTTCGACGCCCTAAACCCTGGATAACTGACCCATAGACCGGCGTTGGCCTTGTCAGCGGAAGAAGGGATCCTCACAGGAAAAACAGAGGGACTAACATATTCTCGTGCGCAGCGGCTTTGATAATACACCCTTGCGCGCTGATGATGTCCGACAGATCAACAAATTTGACATGCCCAGTTTCCGATGTGCTGTTTATTTACACATCGCCGTCGGGAATGGAGCAGCCGATGAGGCAAATAAGGGCAAATGGCTACACATGCTTGCGTACTGCCTCCAACTGCTCGCACCAAAACTCGGTCTCGCTCGGCGCGTGCCCTTGACGGCACCCTGGCGAGGTCTATCTAATGCCTTTGCTGGCTGCCGCCCGTACTTAAGAGCCATAGTCATCCGCACGGGGTGCGCTGCCCCAGATGCGTTGCCTCAAGACATTCGCCTCGAGATTTGTCACCTCCTCTCCTGACATGTGCCCCGTGCCCGTCCAAGGTTGTGGACCACGTGAAGGAGCGCCTCCCTCACCACCTGGGCTGGGCAGTCAACCTGCATTTCGTGGCCCCGGAGGGCTGCGGCCTGGGCGCTCCGCAGCGGTACATCACGCGCAGCGGCAAGAACTACGACGTCAAGAATACCATGCTGGAGAAGGTGAACCAGTACGTGCTGGAGGTGGGCCAGGCGGACTTCGAGAGGCACCTGTCTCAGGGGGGCAGCGGCGAGGCCGGCAGGCACTGGGCCCTGAAATGACCGGCCGCGTCCGGCAGGTGGCCAGGCGATGATTGCGAGCCGCGCGTCAGGCTTGGCAAGCAGTGAGGCACAACACTGTGCATGTATTGGGCAATAGCATTGTGCATTAATCGGGCAATAATAAAGTGGATTAATTGTGCATTAATGTCGCGCGAATTGAGGTCTTTGGACATCGATTGATTCGGTTGGGGCTCCAATGTTGGAGGCCCATGTGGGCAAAGGCGGTGGGGCCGCTTGGCCGTGGGACGACTCTAGGGGACGGCAGGAAGGCGTGCTGAAGGCCAGGAGAGAAAAAAGTGAATCAACGCAGATCTCCCCGGGACGAGGAGTGTAGCTAGAGGTGGTCAATCAATCAAGGAAAGTTTCAATCCAACGCGCGTCATCGGCAGGGCAGTGACGTCACTGTGTGCTCGAGGTTCTGCCGGATTCCTTGTGTGGTCTGAACTCACGTTGGGGTCCAATTATTCAAGATCCCGCCGTTCCCCTCAATCAGGGCTTCGCAGGCTGCCTTAATTTTTTAGTTGGGAGGTATACAGATTGGTGGACCCTGACAGGTTAACAAGTACCTGGCGGTGTGTACAATGGAAAGGGATTCAGTGGAGAGCGGTGTTGCGACGACATGTGCCTCCAACGGGTGGATTGAATTTTCAAACTTTTGGCAATTTAACGCTGTGCGGAAGTTGGCTTTTGCACTTAGATTCGATCAATTTTGATTGCGACGTTTGTGCGTTCTAAATAGCAGGCTTGTGGCACAACTGGAATTCAACCTTGAACAGTTCAATTGTAGGAGGAAACGGAGCTGTAAGAATGCTGTAATAATCTCAGCAAAAATGCATCCCTGCTGTCTTGAAATGAAGTCGTAAATCGATTTGTGGTTACAAATAAATCAAGCTTTACTTGCGAGTCTCGCCCAAGAGTAGCGAATCGGGCATACAAATTGCTAGCCAGGCTCGATGTCAGGCTTCTTTATTGAGGCTTACAGACAAATGCAATGGCAGTGAATACTGTTGATTAAAAGTACAGCATTCCCTGTAGACACTACAGGAAACAAAAGATATTCCTACTGTTCGGATGCTGTCTTTATTGGCGGAAATTCTTGCGTGATATCTTTGCGCTTGTATCTTGCGATGGTGCGACATTGATGCCATCCCATGCAGCCCATGCTATTGCTCGGTAGCACATTGCGCACAGTTCATCAGTGATGCGTGGTTTGATCCGGAAATTCCGCTCCAGCCGGAGAGTTTGCCATGTGCAGGTGTCAAAATGTTGCCTCAGCGTCCTGGATGCACAACAGCGCTGACAGCGCTTTTCCCTTGTCAAGATTGAGGCAGTGGTGGCATTAGGACCGCGATTGAACATGGACACAGCATCCACATTGATGCACGAGCGCAGTTGAAACCTTTTACAGTAGAGTCGACACGACGCCGCTGCATCAATTGCCGATCGAGCGTGAACAAACCCAGTACTTCCATACCATCCCTTGGGATTATATGAAAATGGCGGATTTCTGGATCAGTAAGCAGCTTTCTGACAGCAATTTTGCGAATTATTGGACAGTATCTCTTAAGGGCCCCTAAAGGCGCCTGGATCTCTTCGGATGCTTCCTTATCTCATGGCGCACACACCTGAACCGCTTCGTCAATGATTCAGACATCCAATGCACCGGGGACCTCCACGGCATATTCCGTTTGTGACCTCGTGCGTTTTGCATGATTGGCAGCACAGCTGACCTTTATTTCAAGGCCATGAGCGTGATGAAATAAATGCCCTCCAAATGTCCTGAGAGACAGCCATACCCACGGGGGCCGAGCAACACTCAATGCCCTGGGCGCGGAATGTCGAAGACAATACGGGCCTTCTCACCTCTTCCCTTTTTCCGTGCAGGACTGCCGATACACGAAAATTAGTTAAAGTACGTCAGGTCAGAATCCTCAAAGACACACTGTCGACCACGAGGGTACAAATACTGAGAAAACATCACACGTGCGCTGTGCCAAGAGCCAGTCATTGCTGAGAAACAAAAGCCGGGTTCTCCTCTCTCCCCGTGCTTGTTCAAAGCAGAATGTGGTTCTTTATTTCTTGATTCGAAAATACTGCCTCACATTCCACATTTAGGAATCAAAAATAAAACCTGGGACCTCTAAGTCGGTATTGGATCAGAATGAAAGCTTAGAAAAGAACGTGAACGCGATGGCAAACTGATGGGAAATACGTCGGGACACATAATTTGAAATTCAGAGACGGCGCTTAGTTGACCGCAAGGGTGCATAGGAGTTATCCTCGCTTCGCCCAACAAACCCTAATGCAGTGAACCTATCTCTGGTACTTAATGAAATTGTTATGCTCAGGCGCTCAACCGGTACTTTGGCGCATATATACGGCGATACATGCCATAGCAAGGTTGCCTTGCCGCTGCTCTGACCGAGCGTCCAGCATCCTCCAACTTCGCGCCTTCTCGAGATGGTGGCATTGAAAATCTAACAAAGAGATCTATTGCCTCGCTCCCTTGACTGGCCCAGCCCTGCGCCTTGTCCAGATGGAAGGCTTCGAGCTGACCCCAAGCCTAGTTGGTCTCCCCTCCCTCGGAAACCCAAGGCCGAAGCGCTGCAGGCAGCAAGCGGTAAGGGCGACGCTCAAATATGCCAGCCACCATGCCTTCTTCTGGAGTGCACACAATGCGCGCTGGTTGGGTGGCGGACGGATGGGCGAAGGGCACGCGGAATGCATCCGCGCTTGCTGGAAATGCCGTGCGCAGTTGAGAACAGGGGCAAGGGCGAAGCAGCATTGATTACGTGGACCATATCGTTACCAAATCGAAAGAGGGGAACAAGTGTGATCTCATTGAGCTGCATTATTTGAAGGGCGGAAGAAGGGCTAGCCTTGTGCACCCTGAGGGAAAGGCACTCTTGTTTACGAAGGGGACACGTGTATCCTGCTATGCGCGAATCGTTGTATTAAACTTTACATGTCTACCATACAAGCGGGTCTCAACGCCAAATTTTTGAAGCGCAAGATTATGCACTACCTCAAATGGATCGTATGTTCCCAAGGGAAACGGGAAAGAAACATTTTTTTGCAGTTCAAGATCAGTTGAATTTTGCTTCACTTCATATTTCCGAATCCATTCAAACTTGCTTCAAAAATCACACTGCTTGATTCCATAGGAGCAACTGCTGTGGCGTTGTATGTAATTAGTGAGGCACACCGACGATCGAAATCAATTCTTTGGGACCCACCGATAAGGAATGCATGTCGGTGCTTAGAAAAGGCAGGTCATATTTGAAAAGCAATGTCGAGAAAAGATCATCAGCAGGCGCTGAGGCCGAGGCCACATTTCGTCGCACAAATGCTGTCCAGATTGCCACACTGACGAGGCAAAATCCCATTGTGTTGAGAGTTCCTGTACATACGTGTTTTTGAAATCCTATACTGTCCTGCTGTCTCATTTCAGAGCTTCCTTCGGCTGGTATGCATAGTCCTGGAAAGGCTGGACATAAGGAGTTGGTCTTCTCTTGAGAGAGCCCTGGTGGCGGTGGCGCACTCATGCTTTGTACACAGCTGGGTCGGCAGGACGATGAAGCGCTACTGGGTTCCAGAGGTAGTGCACAGTAAGTGAGGCCATTTGCGCATCCATGAATTCCTTTCTTCGTAGGCATATGGGCTGAGTGAGCTCTTGAAAACACACGAAATCGGAATTTGTGAATTGAAAAAGCGCAAAATAATGAATGTGCACTTGCAACGTTAGAGCTGCCAATGTCGTAATTGAGCAATGGACGCTGTATCTGATAAGTAGGTCTCAATTCACTGAATTCTGCGAATGCGTTTTATGCGAAAAATGAGCTAAAATCGGTGTGCGGTTGTTTCCAGATTGAAAACAAAGTGAAAGACCTATAATGCAGAGAAGTATTTTCCGAGAACTAGCCATTGCTCCAGAAACACGGGTCGCCGTTGTTCAAGCAATGCAAATTGTTTCTGTGGCCTGGATATGTGCCCAGAAAGTGTACATTTTCTGCAGCATACACCATCGTTGGATGGCACCAACGCATCAACTAATGATGGCCTTTATTCTGTTTAATGAGCAAAGCAATTGTGATGATTATACAAAGTCCAACGATCAATTGTAACTGTGACATTCGCAAGTGCGTCGCTACTCCTAAAGGAGTTAAATTATTCCTATTCCCTGGCATATCTATTTCTGCAATGAGAATACCTGACACAAATATCTCTTGCAGAAGTGCTGGTTGAGCATGCAGCTCAATGCGGCTGGATGGGAAAGACAGCTGGAATTGCGATACTTCTGCGCCTTGTTTCTGATGATTCGTCTGCGTGCGAAGAGATTGTCGGCGCGGAAATCATCAGGTATCCCCACCGATTTCGTACATTCTGCATCTGCGTGAATGCTGTTGATAACGATACATGTACAATATGATTGATGCATGTCATGTGTGTTTCGCATCTTGCCACTGTCGATCTTCTATCCGTCTGCCCATCTGCTCGTCCTCTCTCCATTTGTCGGCCTGCTATTCCTCATGCTCACGTACGAGCGAATTGTGAACACGCTCGTCTGTTTGCTGAGAGAGTTGCGCATGTTGCAATCTATGATCAGGTGTTCTGATATGTTCTGATATCCGGATATCTGAATGCCAAGCATCAAATGCCGTGCCACAAAACCTCACCCAGAAGCAGTTTTAGGCACAGCCTCAATTGAAGGGATGAGGGCCATTCAAAACAGCATGGACGCATTGCTCTTGCAAACGCAAGCGTTCGCCGGCCCAACAATACCAATTTGATGGAAAAAATAAGCCATAGCATGGAGCCCGAAACCCTATGCCCACCTTCTCCTGAATGTCGCCGCAGCGATCCAACGAACCTCACGGCCAGTTTGCTTTGCTAAGCTTAACGCGGCGAGTTGTGGAAGCTGTCGCTGTGTATTTACAAGCGGCAAATTAAACGAATGCAATGCATAATTCGCGATAAATTCTTCGGCAGTGTCATGAAAC